TGTCTGTCTATCTATTTATCTATTTATCTACCTATCTACCTATCTATCTATCTATCTATCTGTCTATCTATCTATCTATCTATCTATATCTCTCTCTCTCTCTCTCGCTCTCTCTCGCTCTCTCTCGCTCTCTCTCCTTCCTCGAGGCGTAGCGCACGTGTGCGAGTAGGAACAAACTCCGGCGGTCGCCGAAGCACTTCCGGCTCGACCACATTTTCGACTTTGACTCTCCAACGCCCTTCGCCTCTCCGCGCCTGGTCATGGCCATCCGCCGCTACCGACGACGTGGCAGCCGACTTCTTGGTGGCAGCTGGCTTGGACGTGATGGCCCTATTTCGACCTCGGCGCCTAGGGCTTCGTCATGCTTCGTCCATGGAGGCGAATGAATCTTCCTACCACGATGCACCTGGAGCCGATTTTCAAGGCAAAAAATTGAGAGTGCTCCCCAAAAAAAGTGGCTCACCTGCCTCTGCACTGGCTCACCTTCATCGACACTGTGGGGGAGGTCATATGTCGATCTTCGGCGAGGAAACGCGGTGTGCCCGGCCGGGCGCAGTTCGCGCTTCGACCATAAAGGGAACACTTCACCTTAGTAGATTTTGGCTAACACTTCCTTAGTTTTGTGTAGCGCACGCGTGCGGTAGGAACAAAATCCTGCGGTCGCCGAAGCACTTCCGGCTCGACCGCATTTTCGACTTCCCACCCGCGCCACCCTTCTAATTGTCTTGACATTACGACCTGACTGTCGGCACTCGCCCCATCAGTCGGTGACCTTGGGCGGCAGAAGTGCGCACCCCGGCCCGGGCACCGGTTTTTGGGGCGGTGTGCCGGGCGCAATTCGCGCTTCGACCAAAAAAGGGCCACTGCACCTTAATTTGTAGATTTTGGCCAACACGTCGGTAGCTTGGTTCTTGTTCTGACAAGTGCAACCAGAGAGACAAGACTGTTGGATCGCTAATTGTGCAGCTGGCGACCTTCAAGCGTACGTGACGTTGGTGGCTGATGGAAGGTCCTCGTGAGGAACAGGGTCTTCTACGTGTTGTCACAGCACGAGGTCGGCTAGAAATGGTCCGGGATGACTGATGCTGTGTTCCAGCGTGAAGGATTTTTCCCGGCTGCACCAAGAGCACAGAGAAGCCATTGCCACCGCGTGCCAGATACGGTGTTTGCCTGGAGGCCGCTGAGTCCAATCGTAGGCACTAGCTCGTCAACTTTTGGATTTCTTTGCTCGCAGGCTCGGAGGCCAGTTGGGAGGCCAGCTTGCTGTTTATGCCGAGCAATAGGTGTGTAGATAAGAAAGCCCAACGGCAATCACCAGGGTTAGACCTCCTAAGAAAAGGCAAACGTTTCTTGTGCATGAATTCATAAGCTGCTTTGCATCGTGTCTTGTGCGCGTGAGCTCCCAGCAGAAGTAGCAGCGGAGGACGTGTGCGTCATCATGGCTGTAAATGGCGAGGTTCAGCTGTCCAAGACTCAAAGTCCCACCTTGCTGTGGCAAGTCGAAGACGGTCCGGAGTCCGATCTTACAGGGATCTTTCGACTGGTCCACAGCACCTGCTTGGTGCTTCGTGCTGGGCTTGGACTGTTGTGGAACTGTTCTTGGATAGAGTGTTGCGAGTATGCTGTGACAGCCAAGCCTGTAAAGGTCCGATCTGCATGTGTTCGGCATGCCGAATCGGGAGCTGCCTCTATCTCAGCCCGACAGGACAGTGCAATACTGTAGGTCAAGCAGAGTAGGACGGACTCGCGATTTGCTCATGTGGAAGAGGCTTCTACATGTAGCAAAACTTCATGTTGAGGTTGAGGCACCCAAATATTTGAAGAAGAACGGAGCAGAGACATGCCCTGTTTCTCTCGCTGCCATTCTTGTGACAAGGCAGATGCCACTCAAGCTCCACGCGCTTGCTGATTCGAAAATCGCGGTTTGGCAACGCGAGGACACTTCCCGTTTCGTTCATAATTATCTAATAGCGAATCTAGGCATCACTTTGGACGTCACGTGAATCCCATAGGACCTGGAGAGCATCCTCACGTTCCATGACTTTGATGGAGCTTTGGAGCAGCATAGCAAGGCCAGCATGTGTCGATGTTGTCGTGGCTGCGCTTGTCATTGCTTGCTGGTTGCCAAGGTCCGAAGTCTGCGCTCTGTGTTTGTTTTCTCGACGCTGTCCAAGCACCGACTTCAACGTCAGAGCCTTTGTGCTTGTCGTGCGCAAGGACGACTGGTCTAAACTCTGAAACGGCCCCAGGCTGGCTAGGGCAATCTGAGTAGTCAGGCCGGAATGTTCGGTGCGTGGCAAGTACTATCCAGTGGGAAACGAAGCCGATACCCTCCACGGACAAATCGGCTCAATTGGCCCGAGGTTTGGCACGTGCCTTGGAGATTGAGACGGTCAAGAGTGGCAGCCGCGCCGGAACCCCAAAAACTCACTGGACCTTCGTGCAGAGACTTCGCCTTGCAACAGAGGTCTTTGCACAAGGTGATCAAGGAACGTCGGCGCCTTATGCTGCGACAGTCCGGCAGATGTGACGGGTCTTGTTTGAGGCACTTCTACATCATCCGAAAGGGCGCAGTCAGCGTGGAAATCGATGGCTGTCAGAAGCGCCGGCAATGTCCTCGGATCTCCACACTCAAAGTTGACAAAAGGCATTCCTGTTTTTAAGAAAAGCCGTGAGAGGCTTGGCCATGCGGATTATTTCGGGGAGCGTGCTTTGCTGGGAAACGAAGTTCGCAGTGCCAGCATCACTGCTCTGGAGGAGGGGGGCTTGCAAGCTGGGAGTCCTCTCATGTTGGCACGCATGTGTCAGGACACGGAGCTTTGGAAAATGGGTAAAGAAACCTTCCAGGAAATGATGCCGGGCCCCACCTAGAGTCTGACATGTCCGGGAAGATCCAGCACCCGAGACCGCAGGCAAGGCCAGTGTCTGGACTACCTCAAAGACCGGATCTCTTTGCAGGACATCACTGTCCTGTTTTGGGCTCAGGTGCATGCTGGCACTAGATGTTTAACGAAGCCCCGGAGGACACAGCTTTGACTTTTAAAGACCTCGAGCCCTTGCCTTAATTCCTGATTGCGCATTATGTGTAAGCACTGCGCTGCCTGACTGCCGTGACTGTGAAAGGTTCGTCCGGGTTATCGGACGAGGTGGCTTTGGAGTTGTGAAGATGGTTCGTGCCAAGAAGACTGGAGTCAGGTAGGGGATGCAAGATTGGAGTGTGGACGAAACACACACCGTGCACACGAGCTTTCCCTGCAGGTATGCCTTGAAGTGCGTCCGAAAACGTGATGTGGTGGAAAAAAATATGCAAGATGCCTTGCTGTCAGAGCTGGACATATTGAAAGAGGCACGGAGCCGGCGTGCGTGGCTTTTGTTTTGCATGGATGCCCAAGCACCTCCCAGAGAGGTCGACCATCCATTTATTGTCAAGTTTGTGCGGTCATTTCGGGACGAGCATCTCGACTGCGGTTGCACCAGTCGTTGACATTGATGCCGGACCACTCTATCAGTCGGCTGTCGCGCACTGCCGATATCGCTGTTGAGGAGATCCGTCTTCTTCCTGACAGAATTGGTAACCGGCGGCGAACTGCTGGATGCACTCGATGCACTTGGACTCTTGAATCACTGGCAGGCGCATGGATATGGATCAAGCCCAGCCAATCATGTGTTTGGATTGTTTCACAGCTGCTGCCAATCCAATCGCATGCTATTTGCAGAAGGCATTGTTCTACACCGGATGCATTGTCCTTGCGCTCGAGTTTCTGCATTCCCGCCGTCGGATTCTCACTCGGTCCTCTCTGTGTCTCTGTGCTGATTTCTAGTTTTGGTCAGGCATCGCATACCTCGATCTCAAGAGCGAGAACTGTCTAATTGATCAGCAGGCACGACAGTTGAGAAGCTTCTTTGTGCAAGAGGTGAGCAAACTGCAGTGAGTGCAGGGATATCTCAAGATGATCGATTTCGGCATCGCGCAGCACATTACCAAGACCAGGTATGGGCCCCTGAAGGCACCGCCCGTTCCATCCCCACAGGGCAGTGCCCCTGTTGTGGATGTTGTGTCCTTTTTGGGAGTTCTAGACCTCCTTCGACCGCGAAGGGCCGGTCGACTTTGGTGCTAGCAGCTAGCAACCATCATAAGCATCATCTCCGCACCGCGCCGGGACGGCCTTGCAGTTGTTGAGTGGCACGCAGGCTTCGCTTGCTCCAACAGCTTGCATGAGGCAATAGATTGGTACGCATCCTCTTGAAGAGCGAAGCTGAAGCCAGACCTTGCATCCCAAGTTGGGGCCGTCAATTGCGCCATAGGCACGATTGAACAGTGTGCCATTTTGCTAGCAAGTACAAGGAACCACCCACACTATGTATCAGCGCTCGAGTACACTACCCACGGGGTTGGGTTTCCTTACTGGGCCTGGAGCATTTCTTTTGAAGTTACGTAGTGGAGAGTCAGAGTCCCGTCGAGTCCAGGATGGGCGGGTTCATGAGCAGGTATTTTGCCATGTCAGTGACGACCACCTGCACTGGTACAATTCAGGAGGATTCGACAGTGCCTCCGACCACAGCCCAAGTACTGGCAAGTTGCAGGAGCACGGCGCTTCCTTCAAGAATGCTGCGAACCAAACCACACTGTTTGGAGAAAAGGGCGAAGCATCCAACAGCAGTTCAAAACGGGCTCAAGAGTCACGAGACTCCAACGAGTTTATTGCGAAGCCTCCTCAGCTCCGGATGGCTTTCACGCGCTCTTGACTGCACTGGGGTAACTATCAGCCGTGGGATTTCGTGATCCATCGACAACGGGGCGCCTTAGGCAGCATAGGCATGCTCGATGGCTCACGGAGAAAAGCAGGGACCAACTGTAGGAATTCAGTCAGGACGTCCAACTGACCAGGAGCATGGACTGGGGCACATGAACAGGTGTCCACTTCTTGGTAGCCCACAGAAAGATTAGTGAGAGAACGTTCAAGGGTTGGCTGGTCGACAGGGTACCCAGTGAAAGAACATACCAAAGCCAGAAACTCCGCAAGGCTGGGGCGCGGGAGACCATTGAAGGAGAAGAGGAGAGACAGAAACTCAGAAAGCTTTTGCCTGGACAAAGTTTCGAGAGTCCGGACAGAGGAAGTTGGATTGACCACTGTAGTTTCAGCACACTGCCTGCAAAGAGCCACATGAGGTTGGAATCAAACTCTGTTGCAAGAACAGTGCGACCCCGGAGGGCACCCCAGTCTTCATGGCGCCTGAGATGATCCTTGGCAAGGCTTCTACGCTACGCTTGAACCTCACACGCACTCCTCAAGTAGCTCCAGTGCAGGGGAACTCCACCGTGGCAGACTTGTGGAGCCTGGGCATTTGCCTGTACGAGTTTGTGGAGGGCCAAGCCAAGGATTCAGAAGACCAGAGTTGATACGAGAGCTCGCAGCAAGGTCGTTGGCCAGTTTCCTTTTGCCAGTAACTGCTCCAATCGTGGCCAGCTGGATGCTCATTTGCTCGCTGTAGAGCTTGCTGGCACAATGTTGTTTTGCAGCTTGGCAGGTGGTGGCGCATGTAGTGTTTGGGATGAAGCCGAGGATCTTCCACCAGATCTTGCGAGCCCCATTGCGATTCCCCGAGTGGTGGGCGTCATACTGCGGAGGGGGCGGCAGCGCACAGCCTCGCATCATCTCGTATTTGTGCCATGAGCTTGCCAGCATTCTTCGGCAGTGCGAGGTTTTACAAACAGCCGATGGCGGAGGAAACAATGGGCTGCCGCCCCGGCATTAAACATAGCGGCAACATGTGCAACTGTATCAGCTGTCCACATTGCACAGCCACACAGCGGCTTAGCTAGCAAGTCCGGTGACAACAAAGCGTATCTAATGAAGGCCATAAGAACTTTCGAGTCATGCCTCCTTGTGGATTCCACTGGCATGTGCCACTTGCAGACTTTCAAGAATGTAGAGCGTAATCCAGGCCTCCTTCGGGGTCTCTTGTCGAGAGATCCCAAAAGACGGCTGGGCGCTGGTCACGAAGGCTTCGCCAGAAGCGCCAGCACAAACTGCCAGCTGCATCCAGCTGCAGACTTGCCACGGACAGGATATGCGAAGCTGAAGGCGCATCCTTTCTTCAAATCGCTGTGCACGTGCCTGAGCTATTCTGCTTCCTAATTCTGTAGCAAAATCCCGAAACGACGCTGACATGATGGACTCAGCAAAGCACTGCAGCTATCCGCAAAGGCTGGGAAAAGCTGCTATGTCGTGAGTATGACCCTCCCTACATCCCGGCGACGGAGAAATATGCTGAGGTCTGGACGGTGCGTGTGTGGTCGTTGTTTGCCTTCCCGCTCAGTCGGCTAGGACAAGAGCCAGCCTGTGAACCCGAAGTCGGTGGGAAAGCCTCTGCCTACGGTGGAAGAAGAGGAGGCATGTCGCTTATTCACCATTATCCTAAATTTGCTACCAAGCGCATTCGTGGCAGCAGGTTTGTGGGGCTATGTGGCAAGGCTGCCAAACACGTAAGCACCATGTTGGCGAGCAATTGTGAGTAAGGGGGCGAGTGAGCAGGTGAGGAGTGAATAGACGGTTTTTGGTACACCGACCTACGGAAACGCCCAGCCTTTTTCTCCCCTCAGGTACGCCTCGAGCATGGGTGGGAGTGTGTCCCGAGCATCCTTGCACCCTTTCCTTCGGTTGGATTTATAGTCACGTAGCAAGATCCAACGCCGCCAAAACACAAGCACGAGAACAGCTGGAGACACGGCCAAAGTTCTACAGAGTCGTCCAAGCACATGTGCTTAACTGAGCTGGCTGACGGGGCGTTTACAGAATGGCTTAACCAGCAATTCCCACGGGGGTTGCTGTGAACATATTCTGCATGGGGCCCAAGTTCATCGGATGTGCATCGGAGATTGCCATACACGGATGTACTTGTGTTTTACAGTTGGGCAGGCCCGCTGCGCTGCACCGGAGGAGCCCTGGCAGGTGCCACGGTCGAGAGGGGTGAGGTGCTGTTGAGAGTGCCGGACAGATTTACTGATGCAAGAGATATGGAAGGCGGCTTTCCTCAGATGTCATTTGCTACACATTGGTCTGACCTAGGACCCGTCTCCGGGTTGGGATTTGGAGTTCTGACGCCAAGGGCGTGCCTGGATAATGCTTTCTTAGCGACTCCTGCCACCTGCGCAGCTGTCCAGCTCCACAACAGCAAGATTGTGGATTGGCGGATACTACTGCAAAAATTCATACTTGATTTGTATCCTCCGACAACAGCACTACTGTTTTCATTCGGCACATGAATAGCATTTTAAGTTTGCGACTCGAAAGGCTCCCATTTATGTTGTCATGAGGATTCCAGTACAGCTTGTGCTAGCGTTTCAACGTTTCACGACAGCAGCTTCTTATGATGCTGTTGTAAAGGCGTAGGTAGCCACCAGAGGACTTTTCGAGAACTGGCGCCAGCCGACTAATGTGCTGCTGGTCGATGCCACAAAGCTGTCTTCCCTGGGGTGTCGCGGGCATCTTGTGTTATGAGTGAAGATCTTTGGAAGAGCTCGAGCCGGCCCTTGACTTGACCTCTCAGAAGAATCAATGGTAGGTTCCAGGCGACAAACATGCCTCACAGCAGAACTGGGAGAAGCATCCTGACCAGGTCCATAATCTTGCAGGCTCACAGCCTGTGGCGGGATGTTGGTGCAAACGAAGGTGTCACATCGCTTCTATCAGAATTGGCAAGAAACGTGAACAGGCGCGTAGGGCTTAGGGATGCCTAGGGCATGGAAGGGCTCCAGGGACTCCAGGG